TTGGCTCCACTGTTAAAACGACTGGTGGACGAGCTGGCCTCTGATGACGTGCTAGTAAGGTTAGCGGCAATGGATGCGTTATCCGATGCAGCTATAACCTCACCGACTAGCGCTGCTGTCATAAATGAATCAGGAGCGCCACAGAAGGTGTGGTTTGGCGTATGTGTACTATTTTTTAACTTCATTTTTCTCCCAAATCTTGCGAGAAAATTTTGTATTACAGATCTATGATCTGTTGCAGCACAGCAAAGAAGCGCCAGATGGGGGTTTTATCTATCCATGTGAGTCATACTATAGAATCTCATCTTTATTCTTCGCATGTTTTTTTTTTTTTGCCAGCGGAAAACAATGTTGAACCTATTTACTAAATATGGTAAAACTACCTTTGCGTAGTGCTTATACCTTCTTTTTCCTTTTTCTCGTGCCTTTTTTTCTAAAGCTCTGCGCATAGCCATAATTTTGTTGAAAACTCAAGCGCTGTTTAAAACTGTTATCCATTGACATTATATGCCTAATTTTAACCAAGTGAAAACCAACCAGCTGGTCCAATCTGTCTTGTTAAATTTGCACGTTTATTACTTTTCTGTATCAAGCTCTGCCAAAATAGAAGACCTATCCCGCTAAGGTTTTCTTGAGAGTATCATCTATGAGTTTAGTCTTTGAATCTATTGATTTATAGCTTGTGTGAAATTCTTCGGAACAATTAGTCGAGTTTACCCGGATGTTATCAACAATTTCCCGATGTTTGTGCCAGCTGTGATCGATATGGTGCGTGAAGTGGCAATTTAAGGCTATTTATGGATGGTATTAGCTATTCTAATACAGATCCTAACTTTTTAGGTTAGTCATTTTGATCAAGTCGATGCATCACAAAGGGTGCTTGCGTTCGACACTTTTGCACAAGTGGCTTACAAAGAGGAAGCTAAGCGAAATTTGCAGAACTTGTTAGGTTTGAATCTTTAGTGGGTAAATGTGCATATAGTCTGGGAGATTTTCCTAATTGTAGGTCACCAAGGGATAACCCGAGCAATGCAGGCTTTCGCTGCCTCCATATCAAGTGGTCCGGTAGAGCTACGAGTTCGACATCTCGATGCATTGGCGACATTGTTCGAGAAAGGTGCTGTTCGTTTCTGTTTCATTGTTTTAACGAATTATATCTTGGTCAAATATAGGTGAAGACCAGTTGTTGTCCCAATGGTTTGGTTACCTGGGCTCACCGATGCCCACAGTGCTGATGAGCCTCGTACAGAAACCTTTTCCCGATTTGAGAATGGCAGCGCTACGCACATTTTCTTCTATTCTTTCGCATCCGTTTGGAATTCAAACCTTCCTTGGCACTACTGGGTCAGGTCTTTTGTATTCTATTTTTTGTACATTTTTGAATATTTTCTCTTTTTGAATTATTTTATTTAGTTTCATTGACTGGCTTTTGGACCCGAATACTGAACACGAGTGGGAAGCCGGTCGACTCAAGGCGGATATCATCCGTGCTCTCATAGCGAGCAACTCGCCTTTGATTGACGCTCCACTGAAACTGAGAATGCAGGCTTACTTTGTGGCTCCAAGAAAGGACCCTCAAGTTGAAATGATGCTGTAAATTTGCGGTTGTGTTATCATATCTGCTTAATGTTATTGTTTGTATTTGAATTCCCCGTGTGTACCCAGTGAAAACATGTTGAAGCCGTCATCATCGATCATATAATGCTCAGATTACCTCAGTCAATTCATTTTCAAGCTATTTGATGAATGTCGTTCGGGTTTTTCCAAGAATAAATGCTTTCTTAATTTACTTA